ACTCGCCGCTCCTGCAGTGGCCTCAGGGTTTCGGGGGGCTTGTGGAAGAGCCCCCAACACGGTGCAGGACAGTAGGGATTGCCCCCCACTGGCAGGAACAGCGAGTGCGGGGCTTTTCTTGTTGGTTTTTTTCTTAAAGGGTTGGAGTTGGTCCAGTCGAGGCAGCAAGGATCACCCTGCTGCTTGGCAGAACCCAGTGAGCCAGGGCTATTTTTTTCCCCCCCCCCAAAGAGCTGGGCCAGGTGGGTCAGCCATTGCTAGGCTGGAGGGGCATGGGCCTGGCTGATTCGGAGATCTGGCCAAATTGATTTGGGACAGGGATTTGATGATCCGAATCACTGTCCCCCGAACTGACTGAATCTGAAGCAAATACTAGCCGTTTTGCACAGGCCTAGTTGATATGAATTATTTGTACCAATCAGTTCTTACCATCATTTATTGAGACATGCTGGTCTTTTTCTTTTGTATCTTCTGCTTTTGGTGCTTCAGCAAAAAGATCACTCTGATTGACAGCCAGGAGGTAAAAAACAAGAAAAGACAAATCTGTCTATTGGCTGCAACAGGATTTGTGGCAACAGTAAGAAAAGTACACAGACAATACAAAAGCAATAGAGATGCAAATTGCAGATACAGGTTCCAACCCGCAAATGCTGATGGCAGACAAGCACTTGAAAGTCCCAACCTAGATGCCTAAGGGATTTGGGCCCCCATTAAATTCATTAAGAAATAACTCCGCAGCTGCCCTAGTGACCCATCAGTAAAAGCTAGTCTTTGTGAGTGATTGGACATGCAAGTTTGGAATGCAACTCTTTGGAGAATCACATGACTCACTGTTTTTCTAGCAAGCTTTACCAAAGAAATGGGTCAAGTGTAAGAGAAAACTAATAGATGCAGAATAAAGTAACCTTTGCAAATAAATAAATAAGTAATTTTAAAACTTTTAGGAATGTTAAAAACCTGGTTTGTACTATCATTCTCTAAAGAAAGCTGAATGCTGCTGCTTAGAGAGGAAAGCTTTGTTACTGTACTTTAAAAACAGACTAAAGGCAGCATTCGAATGGGAAGTTCCCTCTTACACTGATACCTATCCAACAGGGGATGTCAGATGCATCTACTTGAGCTCTCCGAAGTTGCTAGATATCGGTGTCTTGTCTACAAGGAACATTTGAGCCAGTGGGCGTTTCTTTCTCAAGTCTCTCTGGTCTTAATTTGCAACTCAGTAACCTGTTAATGGAACTGGATGGGTTCTATTCTGGTCCACGCTGACATACTACTACATTAGTCAGGTAGCTGACCACCTGTTACAAAAAAGTAGCTGCTCATTTTCTAATTTCTCCCAACTCTTAAGTGTTATTAAAAATACAGACGGCTCTCTTTAAATCTCTAGGACTTTATAAAATGCCTCCATTCTATTTATATACAGCAAGAGGAAGAGAAAGAGGACAGTTTAGTACCTTCTCCCCTCAAGCAGTTTCATACATAAATATCTCCTATATCTATGTATAACATAAGTGTATTGACACAGCATAACATGGTGCTGTGCAGAGATATCCAAGTTATATCAGGTATTGCAAGCAGTTCAGTTCCATTAGCATAGCACTCTACCCATAACCATATATACCCAGGGTTTCAGCACACCTAATTAGCCTATTGCCCTGGTCATGCTACTTTTACTGCCAATCCATTCTGCTCTGCCCAGCACTGTATCATGCAGATATACCCCAAGTTTCCTAGGCAACACAGGTATCCCAGGAGGTGTACCAAAGGATGCAAATAGTAAGACAATGTGAACTAAGAGAGTGAAAAATTGTTGCCAGGGAGCTAGTCAAATGCTAGCTG